TTCCTTCCTTCCTTCCTTCCTTCCTTCCTTCCTTCCTTCCTTCCTTCCTTTCTTCCTTCCTTCCATTCATTTGTTTTCTTTCTTTTTTTTTTTTTAGAGAATGGGGAGAGAGTGCCTCAGTTTTCCAATTTTGCCCAACACTATTTTGCTTTTGGATTTTTGTTTTTCCAGACAGGGTTTCTCTGTGTAACAGTCCTAGCTGTCCTGAATCTAGCTCTTGTAGACCAGGCTGGCCTTGAACTCACAGAGACCCATCTGCCTGTTTCCCAGGTGCTGGGATTAAATGCATACGCCACCACAGCCTAGCTGTTCAACACTCTTAAACCTAGACTCTGATCCCAAGTAATTCCATAATTCACAGTACTTCGTATTCTAGCCGGATACTTCTGAGTTCTGCTGGTTCCCAGACACCTGTGACTACCTGTAGACTCTAACCCCGTGCCCTGGAAACCCAAGGTAGCTCCCCTACCTCAGCGGGCCGTTTTCTAAAAGCAGGTTATCTACAATTCCCAAGCAGAAAACCTTTTTTCCGTTCAACCATCTGATGCATGATTCTGATTGGGCCATAGAGCACGAGTGGGTCCTTCAGGACCCAGGCTTCTGTCTTCTCGCTTGTGAGTCTACCCTTTAACCACTGAGCCATCTCCCCTGCCCAGATCCAGGCTTCTGTTAACACCGTTACCTAAAATATATGAGTTGGTCATAGTACCAGGGCCTCAGAGTTGGGCCTTCAAGGTCTGGATGCTTTTGTCTTTTGAGTTTATCACAATCCACCTGGTTGTGAAGCACAGTCCTTCCTATACCAACTCACCCTGTCAGACATTTTTGTTTAAGACAAAGTCTCATTATATCTCAGGTTGACTTCAGACTAGGATCCTCCTGCTTCACCTCCTGAGTGCTGGCACTCCAGATGTGTTCTAACACATCTGTTTTTTTGTTGTTGTTGTTGTTGTTGTTGTTTGTATTTAAGACAAGGTTTCCTGTATCCCAGATTGCCTTGAACTCCTGACTATTTATATCGCTATGTCTGGCTTATCCTTTGATCTTTTTTGAAATCAGGATTGGGAGGATCATTGGCTTTAGTAGCTGGAGCCAGGTGCTAGAACATAGGGGGTAGCAGCTTCCTATCCCTTTTTGGTAGTGTTATTCTTTTTTTCCTATTTGTAGTAATAATAATCGCCAGATGTACAGGCAGGAGACCTAGTTAGACATACTGGAGACTTATGATATGCCTAATACAGACTCTACACTAATAATTTACTATGTCAAGCTACAAAGAAATGTTTTTTTGTAGCCGGGCAGTGGTGGTGCACGCCTTTTATCCCAGCACTCAGGAGGCAGAGGCAGGCGGATCTCTGTGAGTTTGAGGCCAGCCTGGTCTACAAGAGCTAGTTCCAGGACAGGCTCCAAAGCTACAGACAAACCCTGTCTTGAAAAAACTAAACCCAATCAAATCAAACAAACAAACAAACAAAAAAAAAACAACAAAGGAAAAAGAAATTGTTTTTGCTCTGCCATGCTAGTCTGTAGTATCGGCTGGCATTTATTAAATACCAGACAAATTGTTAAATACTTTATAAGCATTATCTTCTTGTATCCATCAGCAATGCTAGGCTAATCTCTTAACCATTATGCTGTTCCTCCTCCTAAATCAGATAATGCTCAAATGTGGAGACAGCTGTCATCTTCTTGCTAGTTATGGAGGTGGGGGCAGGGCACAATGCTATCTTTAGGGGCTCTGTTTGTAACTGACATTACAAATGGCACGAGCATTTCAGGGTCCATTAATCCGGAAGCTCTCAAATATATGCTTTTTTAGGTCACAAAATATAAATCAGCAATGCTTTGGTTGGAGGAGGGCAATACAGCTTTCCTGGCTGTGCCTCCCTTTTCCCTCCAACTCCTCATGGAAGATCCCAGAAGCAGTCACACACTGAATCTTAAGGATGCCTCAACTTTGACAGAGGCCAAAGCAGAAAGAGAAGCAAGTCGATCAGGGCCACACAATGAGTTGTGGCAATCCCCCAACTACAACCTGTATCTAACTTCTGAGCCAGTTCTTGTTCCCGCTGAGAGCCCTTGTTCTCCTGGAGTTCCAAGTGGTCCTGAAGTCTGTATGCCAGGCTCTGGCAGCAGGGAAGTACTAGAGCCACATGTCCTCTGGGGCTCTTACCCTTCTGTCTGGGTTCAGGGCTATGCATCCCCATGTAAACCCCATTTTCCCAACGGCCTAAGTAGCAGGTGATTGACAGCATAATTGATCTAGTTTTCTTGAATAAAATCTAAGCGAATTCCAGGTATTTTTTTTAATATTTATTTATTTGCTCATTATGTATACAATGTTCTTTCTTCAGTCCAGAAGAGGGCACCAGGCCTCATTACAGATGGTTGTGAGCCACCATGTGGTTGCTGGGAATTGAACTCAGGACCTTGGAAGAGCAGACAATGCTCTTAACCTCTGAGCCATCTCTCCAGCCCCCCCAGGTATTTTTTTTCCAGATAATTTTCTGAAATCCTGGTCGTTTTGCCCTTTTGTGGACCTGATTTTTGGCTTCGTGATTAGATTAGGTTTGGTGATCCCCACCTCATCACCTTCCTCCGTGGATTGTAAGGGAGTGAGGAGACCAGAAATTCCCCTCTGAATCATGCGAAAGAATTGCTCTGATTCTTTGCTAGACTTCCCGGAAAACAGGGTGCGGAACAGAAGGAATAATCGCTCATTTCCTCTTTACAAATCTCTCAGAGCTAGCCCTTCAGAAAAGAGAACGGGACAAAGAAAGAACTGAGAAAAAGGAGACGAGCCTCAGAGGTTCATGAGTAGAATGGACTGAAGTAAACCCAAGGACTCTGATGGCGGCTCCCAAACTTAACGCCCCACTCCCAATGGTCCCTCTGACGACTAAGGAGCTTGGATGCGAGGAATATCCAAACTACTGTCTAACTATACTAAATTCACCCCACTTCTCTTCTTTCTTTTTTTGCGGCTATTAAACCTCCCAGAGTTGAGTTTAGCCTCCCCCAAACCATCTTTCTATCCCCTGGGCCCAGCATAGATTTTGCACAGAATAGGCACTGGTAGATACTTAAGAGGGACATTCCAGAGGGTGTCACCGGTTGGCCTACAGTGTGTGAAGCCGTTGCCCCCTAGGACCTTTGTGTGTTCTCAGGATCAGGCAGGAAAGAAGCCACCCTTCCCAGCTATAGATAAGTCTGAGTCTGAGCCAGAAATGCAGAAACGAGCCAACTAAACCATCCTAGCCTCACTCTGGGCATTCAGTCTCTTCACACCTCCGCATCTCCGCGTTTCTCGCGCGGGCCCCGTCGGGACTTGTAGTAGCGTAGCCCCGCAGCCTACACGAACTAAACTACAATGACCAGCGTGCCCCGCGCCCCGCGCCCCCTCTCTTTCAGCCTCCGGGACTTGAGAGGCTCAGCCGACCTGCTGACTGAAAACCGATATGGCGGCCACTCTGGGCAGCGGGGAACGCTGGACCCAAGGTACTAGGTTCCGAACTGGAGGGTGGGACAGGGCAGCATTCCGGAGAGATAAGGGATGCGGGCTCCTCGGATCTTAAGGCCGAGATCCTGGACCAGATGGAGGCTTATGGAAAGATGCTAAGCCTGGGAAGGGCTCGGGTTGCGGTGGAGGACGGCCCAGGGCAACGGCCGGGAATGCTGGCCCCGGCTGAGGCTGTAGATCAGAGCTCACTCATCTGCTACTAGTAGCCTCAGAGCCCCCAGCCCCTCCCCGGTCATGCCCCATCCAGAGCCCCCGGCTGTCCGGCCAGTCTTGACCTCCTGTGATTCGAGGGCTCTTAGGATGCTGAGTTCCGTAGCTTACCTGCCCTTTATGGTTACCTCCTTCACGTCTGGCCACCCGACTCTTTAGTCCCGGTTTGATCTCGTTCCTTAAGGCCTCACATCAGGGTCAGTAGGCAGTCTGTCCTTTTCCACCCTACGGTCAGGCAGAAAGTTGTGATCCCGATACCTTTCATCTGTCCTGCGTTATGCTGATTCTGCAGGGGGAATTTGACAGACGCGGCTCCCCGAGCTCACAGAACTGTCAGTCCACTGAGAGAGTTTGACCGGTTAACAGCCTTTTACAAAACACAGCCAGTAAGTTCCTGGGTTACCGCAGCAAGGTTTGGGGTTTAGGCTGCACACTGTCAAGATACCCAACACAGCCTGGATGTCAAAAGAAGCTTCGATTTCTTCAAACATTACATATAAAGATATGAAGGATACCTTAAAGGAAGAGTGTCAAGGATCTTAAGTAGGAGAGAAAGATGTTTTTAAAGCCTTTTGGGGTCTGCTTACAAGACAAGAGTGCCCTGTCCCTTACTGGCTTGCCCTGTACATTTTGTAGGCTTAAGGACTTACTGAATCCTCTTGCACCTATAACCTTTGTGTGGTAGGAATTGGTCGGACCCATACAGCCCCTGATATGTCTAGCCTAGTGTCTCGGTTCATATTAGTTTTACAGAAGTTCATTTAACTTAAAAAAAAAAAGATTTATTTTATTTTTAATGATGTGTATGTGGGGGAAGAAATAGTCCCTGGGAGTTAAGGCGCCCTTTGAAGCCAGAGGCATCAGATCCACTGGAACTGGAGTTACAAGAGGTTTGAGCTGTCATGTGGGTGCTGGAAACCAAACTCAGGCTCTCTGCAAGAGCAGCCTTCACTCTTTACTGCTGAGCCATCTCTCCAGCCCGACAAATGCCAGTTTAAAAGAATTGAATGACTCTATTCTTTCTTGTTTGTTGTGTTGTGGTTTTTATTTGTTTTTGAGACGGGGTCTGCCTTTGCTTCAAATTTTAAGTGTAGGAGCCTTTGAAAGCAAAATATTTTTTTATGAGCGATGTTACCTCTGGCCATGCAGCACGAAGAAATGGGCCTCTCTCCACACTGCTCTAAAGGCGAGGTATTGGGTAGCACTGCCTCACAAGGCCCTCATTTGTATCTCAGTTAAGAGCATTTGTTGAATGAGCACTGTCAGTATGGTGAAAATTTGGGGCTTTGTGCTTCTGGCATTTAAGTTTCTTCCTTGGGTGCATCCTGTATTCCCTGTGTAGTATCCCAGGCAAGACGTTTGTTGGAGTTTTGATTGGAAGCTTTGAAGTCTCATGATGCCTGTAGTCAACTAAAGACCCTTCTCCACCCTTCTCCACCCTTCTTTTCTCCTATCTACAAGCTGCCTCCCAGAGAGCAGGGGCAAGCAGCAAAATTACAGAGCAGGCATAGTTGTGCATGGTTGTAATTCAAATTTAAGAGAAGCCGAGGCAGAAGGTTCATGAATTTGAGGCCAGCCATAGGGAAACCGTGTCTCAAGAAGTAAACAAAAGTCTAAGTTGGTTTGAACTGCAGGTTAATTTGTCTGTTGTTTTGCAGCTTACATTGATGCAATTAGAAGAAACAAATACCCAGAAGACAGACGACCTGGCAGTCATGATCCCTGTGGTTGCTGTAACTGCATGAAGGCACAAAAGGAAACAAAGCCTGAGAATGAGAGGAATCAGACCCGGCAGGGAGAGGGGAGCTCCACTTACACTGAGGAACAGCTACTTGGGGTCCAAAGGTAAGCCTGTACTATGGTGGTTCTCAACCTTCCTGATGCTGTGACCCTTTAATACAGTTCCTCATGTGGTGACCCCCCAACCACAAAATTATTCTGTTGCTACCTCATCACTGTAATTTTGCTACTGTTATGAATATAATGTAAATAGCTGGATATGCAGGATATCTGGTATGTGACTTCATGAGAGGATCGTTCGAGCCCCAAAGGGGTAGAGACCCACAGGTTGGGAAGTGCTGTTGTCGGGTTAAATAAAGGATTTTATAGAAAGTGCTTAGAAGAATGTCTGTCTCAGGAGGGGCTATGCAACGACTGACCTGTGTCATCACCAGTTTTCTTTAGATTTCTGTATTATTTTATGTGCGTAGATGTTTTCCCTGTATGTATGTGTGTGCACCATGTGTGTACAGTGCCCTCGGAGGCTCAGGACTTTGGACACTGGAACGGAAGTTACAGGTGGACAGTTTTGAGCCTCCATGTGGGTGCTGGGAATCAAACCCGGGTCCTTCAGAAGAGCAGCCAGTGCTCTTAACCACTGATTCATCTCTCCGGCCCCCATTATCATATTATTGAAAGACACTAGCTTCTTGACTTCGAATGAAAGACTGGGTAAGAATGGAGTGTTAGAATATACTGTGAGTTGTGTGATATGCTTTAGGAGAAGCCAGGAAAACAAAGGACTGGGAACGTAGAATGTAGCTCAGTAGTAGAGAGCTTTGCCTCACAGGTATGAGGCCCGAGGTTTGATCTCCAGTACATTAAAATAAGTAAATAAAAAAGATGTCTTTTAGCCAGGTGTGGTGATCCAGGTTTGTGATACCAGCTACTTAGGAGACTGAGAGCAGAGTGTTCGCAGGGTTATGGCCAGTCTACGACAAAGTGAGTTCAAGGCCATACAGGGCAACTAGGGAGACCCGGTGTCAAAATAAGAAAGTGAAAAGTGGACTGGGGATATAGTTTCCTGGTGGAGTGCCTGCCTAGCATTGCAAGACCCTGGGTCCAATCCCCAGAATCACAAAACAAACAAACAACAAAGAAACTAGAGGGTAGGCCTGGTGTCATAAGCCTGTTGTCACAGAGCTTAAGTTGAGGTAGGAATATCTGTGGTTTGAGACCCTTGGAAAAAAAAAAAAGACCAAAACAATAAAACCCTACATAAGAAGGATAAAGGAAAAATACAAGAACAGATATAAATGAAATAGAAAATAGGAAAACAATAGAGAAAAACCAATAAAGTCATAAATCTTTAAAATGTCAACAAAACTGATGAACTTTTAACTATACTGTCCAGGGAGAAAAGCAATATTCACTCAAATGACTAAAATCAGGAATGAGGCTTGCCTGGTTGTACAAACCTGTAATCCCAGCACTCTGGAGCAGGAGGAATGGACAACTTCCAGGGTAGCCTGAGTTACATAGAGAGTTGTCTGCTCCTCAACACACAAACATACCCAAAATCAGGACTGGAAAGAGAGGACAGCACTACCCTTTCTTTTATTATTAATTTTATTTTTATGCCTCTGAGTGTAGGTGTGTGGACATGAATGCAGATACATGCAGAGACCTGAAGAGGGGGTCAGCTCCCCTGGAGATAGAGTTATAAGTAGCTGTGATCCACCTGATATGGGTGCTGGGAATGTGAGTTTGAGGCCAGCCTGGCCTGCATAGCAAGTTTCAGGCCTGAAAGAGCTATATAGTGAGAGACCTCTCTCTGTTATTTGTTTGAGACAGGGTCTTTCTATATGCTGGGACTAAAGCCATGCACCACTATGCTCTAGGAGACAGGATTTCTCTATTTAGCTCTGGTTTTTCCTGGAACTCGCTCTGTAGACCAGGAGGTTGGCCTCAAACTCAGAGATTCACCTGCTTTTGCCACCTGAGTGCTGGGAATAAAATTTTGTACTACCACTGCCTGGCAAACCTGGGAAAGAAACTCTGTCCAAAAAAGGAAAAAATAGAAAAAAAAAATAAAGAAAAGAAGGAAAGAGAGGAAAATCACATGGAGATGGAAGGGACCCAGAATGATTTTTGAAAAAGAATAAAGTTGAATAAGTAATGCTTTAAATTTTAAATTTACTTCAAGACTAATGATGAAGACCATCTGACAGATGTGAGGACGAACATGGATCTCAGTGGGATAGGCTGAGAGTCCAGAATAACCCTCATGTTTATGGGCCCTTGATTCTCATTGTTGTATTTATATAAAGTTTCACTCTGTAGACAGACTGGTTCCAAGACAGACTTACTCCCAGTAAGTCTCCTGCCTCAGACTATCAAATGCTAGCAATGCCAGGTGGCATGAGCCACCAAGTCTAGCTCTGGCCCATTATTTGTTGATAAGGTACCCAGACATTTTAATGGAGGAAAGAATAGTCCTCCGCAAATGTTTAGACAACTGAATATTCGTATGAAAAGGATAAATTTGGACCCCAGTTTTATGGACACAGAAAATCAATTCAAGGCAGGTGTGGATCTCTGTGAGTTTCAGGACAGCTAGGGCTACACAGTGAGACCCTGTTTCAGAAAGAGATGAGAAAGAAAATGTAATTTTAAAAATAAGGTGAAGAGTGGGAAAGGAAAACACCTGATATCGGTCTCTAGTTTTGATACATACCCATAAGAAGTCATTCTCCACTACATGGAGAGTTGGAGCTGAGCCTGGACTACATGAGAGTCTATCTGAAGAAAAAAAAGACCAAGCATTGCGTACATGCTTTTAATCCCAGCACTTGGGACAGAGACAGACACAATTAGATCTTTATGAGTTGGGGGACAGACTGGTCTACATAGAAAGTTCTAAGACAACCAGAACTACATGAAAAAATCCTGTCTCAAAACAAAACGAAACCTCTCCCCATGTCCCTGAAGGGAAAACCACATACACAATTTTGAAAGATAGCCATAAGGGCAGATGTGAGAACACACACCTATAATCTCAATGTGTGGGGAATGGAAGCAGGAGAATTAAGACCTCAAAACCTGCGATGCCTGCACCTCCTGGAACCAAGGTTAGGCAAGGGCCTGGGGATTAAAGAACACACAGAGACACAGGTCACTCTTGAAGCAAGAATGCCCATTTTATTATGTTCCCAGGCAGCTTATATAGTGCTCTCCTTGACTAGTGGTCACACCCTAGCTCTCTGGATTTTTCACTGCAAGCCCACCAGAAACCACTTCCTTGTTATCAGGAACTCATGAGGGTTCTGTGCTCAGAGCAACTGCAAGCATAGAAAAACAAGTTGTTTACTCTGGCAGGCAAGGGGTCATAGAAAGTTCAGGGTCTGAGGGTCTGCAGCTCCCAACAAAAACCAGCCTTAGTTACATAGTGACCTTGAGGCTAGCCTGGGCTGCTTGAGATGCTGTCTTAAGAAAACAAAATAAGGTAGCTAGCTAATTCTTCTAGCTTTGCTGTTCTTTGATTAACTTTCAGGATCGTAGCCCGAACTTCGGCACAGAGGCTAGCACGCTTCTGCCCACTTATATGACTGTAAGAGGAATAGAAGGGCAGACCCAGAGGGTCTGTGTGAAGGTCTGGATAGGACAATTTGAATGCTTATATTTTTGGAGGGTTTGTTTTGGAGTTCACAGGTTGGAGGGATGTATTCTTTGGCTATTAGTTATACAAATAGAGCCTCTGTAGATATACATATTTTTAATTTTTTCCTTTTAAGAATCAAGAAGTGCAGAAATTACTATGAAATTCTGGGAGTTTCTCGCAATGCCAGTGATGAAGAACTAAAGAAAGCTTACCGGAAGCTTGCTCTGAAGTTTCACCCTGACAAGAACTGCGCTCCTGGAGCAACAGATGCCTTCAAAGGTTTGCCCTTGAACCCATGCCCATCTCCCTTGTAGTGGTGATAGCAAATTTGCTTGTTTTAAATCTTTTATTATATTTATCTTAGCAGGGGCATATGCATGGAAGTCAGAGAACAACTTTTGAGAACCAGTTCTCTCTTTCCATTCCATGGGTCCCAGGAATCAAGCTCAAGCCCCTCTTACCCTCTGTCTTAGAGTTTCTATTGATGTGAAGAGACACTACAGCACACACGCTCTCTCTCTCTCTCTCTCTCTCTCTCTCTCTCTCTCTCTCTCTCGGACAGCTTTTTGCTCTTTATCTTTGGAGCCTGTCCTGGAACTTGTGCTGTAGACCAGGCTGGCCTCAAACTCACAGAGATCTGCCAGCTTCTGCCTCCTGAGTGCTGGGATTAAAGGCGTGTACCACCACTGTCTGGCTGACTACAGCAGCTCGTGTAAAGGGAAACATTTAATTGGGGTGGCTTGGTTATAGTTTTATTTTTATTTATTTTTTTTATAAATAAATATTTATTTATTATGTATACAATGTTCTGCCTTCATATGTCCCTGCAGGCCAGAAATTGGCAACAGATTTTATTACAGGTGGCTGTGAGCCACCATGTGGTTGCTGGGAATTGAACTCAGGATCTCTGGAAGAATAATCAGTTCTCTTAACCACTGAGCCATCTCTCCAGCCCGTGGTTACAGTTTTAGAGGTTCAGTCCATTATCATCATAGCAGGGAGCTTGGTGATGTGCAGGAGACGTGGTGCTTGCTATATCTTGATCAAACTGTAACAGGAAGAGGACTGAGACACTGGGCAGTATCTTGAGGACATATGAGACTTCAAAGCTGCCTCCGCAGTGACACACTTCCTACAGTAAGACCACACCTACTCCCCAACAAGGCTACATCTCCTAATAGTGCCACTTCCTTTGGGGCCATTTTCTTTCAAACTGCCACATTCCACTGGCCCCCAAAGGCTTATAACCATATCATAATGCAAAAATGCATTCATTCTAACTTCAAAAGTTCCCATAGTCTATATCAATCTCAAACTTATTTAAAAGTCTAACATTCAAAGTCTCTTCTGAGATTCATACAATCTCTTAACTCTGTTCCCCTGTAAAATCAAAATAAAAAAACAGATCACATACTTCCAACATAAAATGGCCTAGGATATACGTTACTACTCCAAAACATAGGGAAGGGAGCATACTGAGGAAATACTGGACCAAAGCAAGACCAAAAACCAGCTGGACAAACTTCAAACTTCATCACCATGTCTGATGTCAAAACCCTTTTCAGATCTCCAACTCCTTTCAGTTTTGTTGATTGCAGCATACTTCTTTCTCTGGGCTGGTTCCACATCCTGTTAGCTCTCCTTGGCAGGTGTCCCAGGACTCTGGGGTCTCCAGGGCAATCCATGCTTCACCTTCACAGCTTCACACAATGTCCTCTCTAGACCTCTATCCAGGGCCACCCCTGACACATGCCTGGCCTCAGTTGTTTTCCTTAGTCTCAGAGGCAAATCCCATAACTCCTTTCTTTTATTCTTAACCATAAAGCCAGAACCACGTGGCTGAAGCTTCTAAGTTCTGCTGCTTGCTGGAACATGGTCCCTTTGTTCAATTACATCTTCACCAGATTTCTGTTTTTGATTTTTACCTTTACTGCCTAAGTTGGACTGTCCTTGAACTTGCTCTATAGACCAGTCTGGCCTCATATTCAGAGATCCACCTGCCTCTGCCTCCCAAGTGCTGGGATTAAAGGTGTGCACCATCATGCCCAGCTTGATACATCCTTAATAGTGATTATTAACACAGTTATTTCCTGCTTTCATCTACTTATATCGATATCTATCTATCTATCTATCTATCTATCTATCTACACTTTTTTTAAAGGAAAAAAGATTTGTTTCTTCAATAACATCTTTTGTGGGGTGGAGAGTTGGCTCAGCAATTAAGAGCACTTTGTTCTTGCAAGAGGACCTGGGCTCTATTCTCAGCACCTACAGTTTGACTCACACCATCTTTAACTCAAGTCCCGAGAGATCCAATGTCCTCTTCTGACCTCAGAGGGAATCAGATGAGTATGTGGTACATATACATACACACAGACAAAACACTCATACACATAAAATAATAAGTAAACCTTAAATCATTTCTAGGGGCTGGAATTCAGTGGTTAATATCACTTGCTACTCTTGCAGAGAACAGCAGTTTGGTTCTAAGTACCTCCCAGGTTGCTTACAGCAGCCTGTAACTCCAGTTGTAGGAGATCTTCCAGAGTCTAGCTCCAGATGAGGGCAGGGTTTGACGTGGGCGCTTGCAAGAGCGGTGATGGAGAAATCAGACACAGGACACTTCATAGTGTCGTTTCATGGGAGATGGACAGAGAGGAAGCGTATCTCAGGATAGCTTGATCTACTCTGACAATCTGCATCTCTCATAGACTTTATTTAGACTCAAAATCATTTCCTCATAGACTTTAATCATTGATTACAAAATCTTGTCATGCTACATACTTATTCTAAAGGCTTCCTTGATTACATAAGCATATCAAAATAAAAGAAACAAAATGAGAATACAGTAAATTAATTTCATGAGAACTAAAATCTAACATGATAAAATCAATTTTTTAAATTCAATTACATTAATTTTGTAATCAAAAATCTTCTGTTCCTGCTAGTTCTTTGTTTTGAGGCAGAACACAAAAACCTAATGATTCAGTTAGAGTTTGTCAGCTTCTAAAATTTCCCTGAGTTTTTCTTTAAAAAAAATTATTTATTTATTTATTTATTTATTTATTTATTATGTATACAATATTCTGTCTGTGTGTATGCCTGCAGGCCAGAAGAGGGCACCAGACCCCATTACAGATGGTTGTGAGCCACCATGTGGTTGCTGGGAATTGAACTCAGGACCTTTGGAAGAGCAGGCAATGCTCTTAACCTCTGAGCCATCTCTCCAGCCCCTGAGTTTTTCTTCTTTAATGTTTTTTTTTTTCTCAAATCCTATGTCTTATACTTACTAATACCACTTAAGTAATAGGTTCTATAGAAAACTCAGTTTCTAAGCTGGGTGGTGGTGACGCATGCCTAAGAGTGTGAGGCCAGCCTGGTCTACGGAGCGAGTTCCAGGACAGCTAGGGCTGTTACACAGAGAAACCCTATCTCAAAAAAAAAAAATTGTGTTGAGGGGCTGGTGAGATGGCTCAGAGGTTAAGAGCACTGGCTGTTCTTCCAGAGGACCTGGAATTTAATTCCCACCACCACATGGCATCTCACAGCTGCCTGCAGCTCTAGTTCTAGGGGACCTGGCATCCTCAGGACAAGCAAGGTTCCAGAAGGCAATGCCAAAAGAGTAGTCTCATATTTACTATCCTTGAGGGCAGGAAGCATAATTTATAGAGTCCAAAGATTTCTATTATATGCATATTTGTTACCCCACCAGGGAAATCAGCAACCAAAGTATGTTGGGTAAGCAAAAACCAACGAATAAATGGGGAAATGAAATCAGTGTAAAAACAAATGGGTTCTGGGCAGTGGTGACACACGCCTTTAATCCCAGAACTCAGGAGGCAGAGGCAGGCAGATCTCTGTGAATTCAAGGCAAGCCTGGTCTACTAAGCAAGTTCTAGGACAGCCAGGGCTGTTACACAGAGAAACCCTGTCTCAAAAAACAAAAACAAAACAGAAAACAGCAACAACAAAACACACACACACACACAAAAATAAAAAAATAAACGGTTAACGAATCAGAAACACCTTTTGTAGCACGAATTCTAATAAAAAGTTGGAGTCAGCTATCAGGGGTGAAAGCTAAAGGATCAGAGAAGCAGAGCAGCCACTTCTTATCTCTACCAGTGCTCAGACCAAAGGGACGATCCTGTCCCTGTGAATCCTCAGACTGCATCTCAGACTGAATCCTCAAGACTGACCAGAGCTCCTCTCTCCTCCAGCCTCCTGTCTCCACCTCCCTAGTGCTGGGATTAAATTCATGTGATCCCAAGTGCTGAGGTCACCTTTGAACTCTGTTTCTCTTTTAGACAGATTCGATCTTGTGCCCAGGGTGGCCTTGAACTCACAGAGATCCATCTGCCTTTGTCTCCTGAGAGCTGAAATTAAAGGTGTGTGCCAGCACCGCCTGACTTCTATGGCTAATTAGTGGTTTATCTCTGTACTCTGATCTTCAGGCAAGCTTTATTTGTTACTGCATAAACAATATATTACCACACACTTTGATTTGTAATATTATCACATTCCTGATATAACAAGTATTCATTACTCTCTCCTCCCATAAGACCCACAACATCAGCTGGGTGCTAGTGGCACATGCCTTTAATTCTAGCATTCAGGAAGCAGAGATAGACAGGTCTTTGAATTCGAGGCTAGCCTGGTCTAAGGAGCGAGTTCCGGGACAGGTACCAAAGCTACACAGAGAAACCCTGTCTCAAAAAATGAAGCAAAAAAGATCCACAGCATCGGTTGTAACTTTAAAGAAAGCAAAGTCCCAAGTTGTAAGGTAAAAAATAGGAGAACCAGGCAAAAGCTCAATATACTGCTGCATAACAGCCAGGAAGGGAGAATACCTCAGTCATAGAGATACCATAGCAAAAAACGGATTTTCTGGTGTGCATGGCAGCGCCTGAGTTTCTATCAAACTTTCAGCAGTATTGCCAAATGACTTTAGCTGTCACCTGTTGGTACTGGCTGCTGACAAGTGAACCTGAACGTGCAGCGATGCAGATGAAGTTTCTAAGAGCCTCAGCCAAACTGAGCAAGATGAGAAGGAACATCTAAACAGAAGCAGGGGTAGAACAATATAAGAGAAAAATAACCCATTGGGTTTTTAAGAATTGCAATGAAGGGTGAGAGTGACAGGTAGATGGATCCTTTCCAGGAGACCGTTTGCCATAATACACCCATAGGTGTATGAGCAGTAGGCAATGTTATTAGATCATCAAGTTTTATGCTTTGAAATTGCTGTTTATTAATAGCCTGTTCCACAATTGTCAGTG